GGCTCCACATGTGGCAGCCATGGACACTGCCCCTCTGACGTCAAAGTTAGCAGGGGTGGTGGAGAAGAAGATGAGTAGAGGATTCAGAAACCATTGAAAAGAAAGGATTAGGGCTACTAAACCGAAAGAGCTCTAATACCATGAGAATGTTTGCTTAATTCACCACACCTGGTGTGAAAGTTATCTATTTAACATAGATATTTGCCATATAATAAAGTATCAAATATGATATATATGGTAAACTATAATTTAGTATTAAATATCCTTAACAATTAAATTAAATGTATTAAGCAAAACCCCAAGTGGTGCGGCTAAGCTAGTGTGGGCTCAATTGTAACGACTATTTTTTTTTTTTTATTGAAATAGAGTCACTACCATATGCATGACGTGACCTTTTTATTTATAAAACATATGAAACGAGAATAAACCATGTATCCAAAAATTAGAAAATAAAATAGAGAAAAAAGTAAAATGATGCATTGATCTAACTAACCGAAGGGCGACCAGATAAATAAAGTGCAACTACCCTACATAAGTTCCATGGTCTTCAATGAGACCTTACCTTTACTGAAATGTAAGAGTAGCACATGACGTGAATATTTTAAGAAATACTCAGTAAGCTACCCCACTATTGAGGTTGGAAATGCAATTACATGCAACATGGGGGATCTATCATTCAAAACAACATTTCGTTCTCTTATGCGGCTTTCCAGTCTGGCCTAAGTTGAATATATAGTAGTTCTCTACACATGACCGACACGTACGAACATGAACCCACCATGCGGATTCTCACACCACTTAGTCTGCTGGTCAGGCTAGCACTCGCTGACAAACTATAGACACCCATAGGGAATAGCGACCGTTGTAGCATCATGGTAAACATGATGGTCATAATTAATCTCATAGTGTATGTGTCTGTACTTATCATCTTGAGAAAGTATCCTGATGCACGTGAAACATATAATTATGCATGAGGTCCCCATACTTTCCATTACGGCAAAATATTTAATGCAAGACAACCTTGTTCTTTCCTCTCATAATAAACCCTGTAATTATGACTTACTTTCGAATATCACATAATTCTTATACATTATTTCATACATAACCTAGCTTCCAAGTCCTGGCACAGGAAGGTTATGCATCATAGATTTCTTTATTTCAAAATATATCATGGCATGTCATAATATATTGTAGCCTAACATAATACATTATGACATGTCATAACATATCATTTCGTTTATACCGTAATATTATTTGGTATATCATATAGCATAAACATAACATTACATATCAAAGCATAAAGTATATCACACATATGATGCGTGCACGGGCCACTAGGCACATGTCATCATACATAAAACAATTCTTTCAACTAAACTGAGGAGCCACTTACTTGATTTGCCTTGGGCCGAAGTTGCTCAATGATCCTAAAGTTGGTTTGGAACGCTCCTTATCGATTATTTCAACCTATATTACCACGAGATGGTATTAAGACATAGTCTCGCACATATAACTTACTTAAAAGTGCCGATCACTTCCAATTTATAGCTCAAAATAACTTAAATTGAGCAATTACGGAATTGAATTGACCTCAAATGCCTCAAGTTCAAAATTAGCTCTGGAACGGTCGAAAATAAGAAACAGTACCAAATACCCTTTATCGAGTTAAATAAGCTATCAAGCTGAGTGATGATGCCCCCGAGTTGTGCCGAAGCCGAGTCGCGATTCAAGCTGAGAAGCGAGTTGGGGGAGGAAGCACACGTTGTGCATGTGCAGTGGCTTGGTTGAGCGCGGGTTAACGGACCGGGTTGGGTCACGAGCGAACTTAGGTGCGCAGGTCGTATCTGAGTCCAAACGAAATGGTCAATTGGGATGGGTCGAGGCTTCTTGTGGGATGTACATTGAGCTCCTAAGCTGTGGGTTTGGTGCGCTAGAGTTGGGTTGCTTCGAATCCAAACTCGACTCTAGAACCATGGATCTCTTCTTCCTTACCCGACTCCCTCGTCTTCTTGCCCAATTTTCTCTTTCCCATAGGTTCCTTCCCGCTTCTCTTTTCAACGTTCCTCCACTTGAGATCCGACCACCATGATCCTCTCCTTACCTATCTCCCTCATAGTGAATTTCAACATCACAAATTCTCATAAAACCAAAGTTCTTTCTATACTCGAACCACCCTCAAATGGAAGGAAATGTTTGAATGGTTGAAGTGTTGAAAAACGGAGCTTTGGTAGGGACATTGGTGTTTTTCGGAGATCTCACTACCTTACCGAAAATCTCACAATTTCTGACGAAGATTTTTTTTTTTTTTTTTTTTTT